TCCTTCTTGCTGTGCAGTACCGCGTTGATATAGTCTGCACCAATCAGCATATGTATTTCGTCTGATGTCCCTTGTTGAGGCTTGTCACTCAGCTCTACTCCCCAACTGTGCCACTGCGCAATGGTCTGCGGACTTGCGCACTTCAGGTCCATCTCAAGCGTTGGTTTCACGAACGCGCGTACCCGAATGCTAGCGGAGCTACCCTGGATCGTGATGGCGTACTTATCCATGCGCTGTTGGGTTGGTTCCGCGCCGAACGGCTTCACCTCTACATTTTCAACCCCAACGTGTTCTGCATCGATTGCTGACACCAACGCTGCAGTCACGAATGACGCCTCAGCACCCGAGTCCAGGAACACGCGAACCTTCGCGTTTCGAGTTCTTCCCTCAACTCGTGCCACTCCGGTCATCAGCCGCACACTTGGCGAGTGTAGACAGCACGACCCAACATTCTTCTCCGTAACTATCTCAGTCGGTTTCTCCCGGCTGTAACCTGCTCTATCCAACACATCATGTATTAGCAGGTGGTGTTTCCTCTGGCATTTCGTGCATCTCGAGCCTGACCGACATTCTCTGGCCATATGGCCATACTTAAGGCAGTTCCAGCAGAGTCTCTCTCGCTGCAGAAAACCCTTTCTCCCTTCCTGTGGCAGCGACTTTAGCTGCTTCTCTGCATCTGCGACCGATATCGCCATGCACTGTGCCGACGCCGTGGGCCTTGGCACGGATCGTTCTACTGGCTTCCTGGCAGTATCACCCTGTCGTCCGTGCGCGACCTGGTAAGACGCGCCGTGCTCCTGTACCTGGCGCAGTGACATCCCGTAGCACTGCCGTTCGACCAGGTACGTCTTCATCTCAGGTCCGCATTGCTCCAAGATTACCTGCTTTGCCATTGCTTGCAGCACCGGGGACATTTTTCCTATATCGGAGCTATACTTGGTGTCCACCTCGCCATCTTCTGTCATAGCGAGTGTGGCCCACACCTCTACCTCTCGGCAAACACGGACAACGTATTGATGAAACGACTCATCTGACCGCTGCTTGCCTGTCAGCAATGTCTTCCACGCTTTATCCGGAGTCTTTCCGAGCGAGGCAAGCAACTCTCGTTTTGCTTCCTCGTAATTATTGCATCCAATACATATCCTCTCCGCTTTGCTACCCGCTAGCGCAATGCGCAGTCGCAGCAGCCATTCGCTTTCTTCGAACTCGTTCTTGGAACAGATGTCCTCGAACAGGTCAAGATAACGCTCCAATGGCTGCGTTCCATCATATGAGGGGATTTTCATCACCGGTTGACGCCCACCGCTGTTACTGGGAGACTCCTCTGTACCTCCCATCGTGGCTTTACCCTCACCCTCCTGCGCATTGGCGATGCGCTCGTTAATCTCCTTTAGTGTTTTGGCAAACTCGGTGCGGAGCGCCTCCTCTCGCCGTCTGGCACTGCGCTCCTCACGCTCCGCGTGCTGTTGGAGCCTCTGCTCCACATGTACCTTCAACAACTCGCCTTCTAATCCTAACCGCTCTCCATTGTCGATAAAGCTGGCTTCCAAATTGTTCCATAGTTCCTCCGCCATGCTCGCTCCTATCCTGGCGTGGTCGCCAAATGTTCTGAACCCTCTAAGATTCTCTAAATTGTCAGGATCGTACGACCACACGGCACGAGGACAACTCTTTTCCTTTACACAGTATATTTCACTTCATCTGATAACTAACAATGAACACTAATAACACCAGCTATTTATAGCATGCAAAAACAGCGTACATGCAAAACATAAGCAGATAAAACTGGACATAACAGCGTATACAGCAAAACGCACACAACGCATATAGCGTATGCCATGCAGCAATATCAGCGGTACGGCGGAGTCGAAATACAACATTTCAACGAATACAATGCCATAAGCGCGAAGGCCTTTCCCAATTGAGAACTGGTGGTTTACAACACAGAGTACTCGTTCATACATGGTGCATGCATTTATCACTCTGCTGAAATCTGCTGTTTCAGAGCAGCAGTCGGCAGATATTGAGGTGCAGACTGTGACTGCCAGTCACGGAAAAAACATCTTCATGATAACACCATATCCAGCATTCTTCTTTTTATACCCACTCCCATCCGGGGCAAGGTGGGGTACAACCCCCACCCCTTCACCCGAAAAATCATTTTTTATGTAAAAACCGGAGCCCGGTTTTTTACCCCAAAATGGGGTACTATCAATAGTACCCCATTTTTTAGGGCTGGGGATGACCCAGTCGTCAAACCGGCTTTATACATACTACTTGTGTGTGCGTGTGTGTGTGCCGGTTTTTATTGTCTATCTGTGTGTATGTGTGTATGGTTTTACTTGAAACTACGCACCCAATTTGTATAACACAAGAAGTAGGAATGACAAAAACAACAGACTGACAAGACATAGACTGAACGGGGCTACAGTGCAAGGCAGTGGTGGAGGTGGGGTGCTGCAGGCATCTGCGCCTACTTCACCCATCAGTGTGTTTGTGTAGGTGTGCATATGTTTGTTCAGTCAAACCTCATCAGGACGAACTTCAAGGGACTGGACAAGTTTGTTTGTCTTACACATAGTTCTTCTTATCCAGATCCGACAAAAAAAAGTTTAGGCCTGAAACGATCATGGATTTTCGCCCATCGACTACTCTTTAGCTTAATGATCGATTGGTCGATTATAATCGTTAGCAAAATAGTGTCAGAATTTTGTGCAAAATTCTCTGTTTCCGAAAGCTTGGCCTTCAGAATACCAAAATCTGCATTAGCGACACGATGGTGTTATTCATTTTTCTCTGCGATGACTGGAAGTGGGTGAAAACTTGAAAAGAAGGTTCCCAAAATTGTCCCGAAGTACCGAGTGACGTCACGCGTGCATTCGTCGTCAAAAACAAAGTCCAGCCCGTGTGCTGGTCGATCGAGCCAACTGTTCGATGTACGGTGCATGCTTGCCTTCTGAACTCGGACACTGATGTGTACGTTGTACACAATGAGAATGCCAAAAAGGGACAAAACAAACAAAAGTCGATAGCAGTTTGTCGCACTGGTACTTCCTCCACGAAGCTCCAGCTCTTTGTTTTATTAATTTTGGTGATTACGAAGGAGTGGAAGGATGTTAGTTTTCAGTTAGTGTGGCACACATATCTCGTACTTGTAAATTATTTCATTGTATCGAAGGTGGCGGTGTTGCCGACCCGGCTCTGAAATGAAAGACGTCGGATTTGTCATCTGCATCTTCAGCAACATCGTCAGATGAATCGCCTTCACGTGGCTACATTGCGTTCCTTTGGGGCTCGGGTTGGTGGTGTTATCGCCGGCCGGAGGAGAACTGTTTTCGGCGCACGCACTCATCATCGTCTTGTTCCTCACATGAAAAGTTCAAAACAACGGCGTACTTCCGTGCTCACAAAATAAAACTTACTTAGATCCTCGCGGAAGAAGTCAAAAAGGTGAAAGCTCAGCTACTTTTTATTGTGATTTGGCTTTGTAGCTGCACGTGGGTCTCTGCCTCTTTGGCATTCTCCTTCGGTGCGACGTACCCATCTGTGTTAGAGTTCAGAAGGCAAGCGTGCACCGTACATCGGAACAGCTAGCTCGATCGACCAACACACGGGCTGAACTTCGTTTTTGACGACGAATGTACGCGTGGAGGTCAAGTCCGGCGTGACGTCACTCGGTAATTCGGGACAATTTTGGGGACCTTCTTTCAAGTTTTCATCCACTTCCAGCCATCGCAAAGAGAAACGATTAACACCATCGTGATCAGGAGCCAAAGAACTACAAGATAAGACAAAGAAATTTTTGGTGACAGTTCCCCTTTAACCTCAGAATATGCACTATGCCCCTGGCAACTGCATACTCACAGTGGAACTGATTCAAACTTCACAAAAACGAGGGTTTTCAGTACTCTTTGGACTCAAAATCCCTAACAAGTAATCTATAATGCGACAATTACTTGATTGTAATGGAATTAACGATCGCTTACCGAGTAATTGGTATAATCGTTTCAGCCCTAAAATAACCGATATCAAGAGTACATGACCCCCCCCCCCCCCCCCCCCTCCTCCAGAGTGTGCAACGCCTGATCCAGCTCTGCATAGGGTCTTCGTCGAGCGTAATCAGATCTTCTGATGTCATGCGTACACTCCACACCAGCGCAAGCCCGGTCTTGAGGCAGGGCACCGTTGTTTTTGATCCGTGAGTACCCACGATTACCCGGGTTCCCCTCAAATGTGTACGGTATTATGGCGGAAAAATCCGATTACGCTCGACCAAGACCCTATGCAGAGCAGGATCAGGCGTTGCACACTCGGGGGGGGGGGGGGGGGGTTATGTACTCTTGCCGATATGCATATCATAATGGATTGTATTTATGTGAAAGTGCATGCTGTGGTGCATGGCAAGCATTTTATTCTTAGCACAAGCCAAAAACAGGTAAGTACAAGGCGCTATGATCCGTGACTAGACAGTACGATCCACCTTCCAGATCCACAGTGCGCCCAACGATGCATGGCATATAGAGACGAAAAATACAGCCAGCGTACGCGCATGTGGACCGAAAGTTTGTTCTACGCGCTGATTCTGTTCAAATCGCGCTTTAACCCTTTGCGGTGCATTAAAATATTTCGTCGTCACGAAAGTGCGCCGTACAGGCCTTTGTTGTAAAGGAATGATTTTGACTTGATCTGATGCCTGGCCAACCATAGGATTGGCCCTAGTTCGTACTAATGGAAAGTTCCCCTTAAGGGTGTTTGTCCTAACAAGGCTTAACTCAACTGTATGTATGTATCTGTGTATTTGGGCATGTGTGTATTTGTATGTGTGTTCATGTGTTTATGTGTTTATGTGTGTGCATGTGTGTGTGTGTGTACGCGTATGCGTGTATGTGTACGGATGTATGCGTGTGCGTGTATGTGCCTATAATTATGCGTGTATGTGCCTATATGCGTGTATATGACTGTGTACTTGCGATGTGCAACTCTGTCCCACTCCATCACAGACCGAGTTCTATAGACACTCGCTTTTGCGCGACCTCCTGATTGTCTCGAGCAAAGATCCGAAAGTCGCCAAGACAGCAGCCTGCTACACGCGCAAGCATTACTGTATGGCGGTATATGCATTTCTAGGTTCTCACTGCGCAGCGTCACTGCTTCCTAGGGTATTTGCCGGGGGAGTTAAATATGGCCGCAAGCGACGCAGCACGCCGCAGGGTAAGATGTGATGTGCCAGGGCTCGGTTTCTGTTCATTATTAAATTAAAGCCTTGTCAGGACTTTAGCCCCAGTCGCCGGCGCCACGGTCATGACAGCGCAGGTGGACTGCGAATCAAAGTAACTCATAGTAAAAAAAATTAAAAAAATTAAAAAAGACTGCCATCAAGGTCTGACGTTATACCCTCCTGACAACACATAGCTGTGACAACAAACAAATGTCACGGTTTTTTTGTGTTTCCAGTAGTAGGAGCAGCAGCAATTTGAGCAGAAGACCATCTTCATGATTGGTTTCCTTCAACTGCTGAAGAGTTTTTTAGATCTCACAGTGCAGAGCAGTTTATTGTTTTCACCCTGAGATAGGCCATGCCCGGAAATTGCGTGAATGCATTTTTGTTACTTCAGAAGTATTATTAAAGTTACATATACGGCAAAGAGACTGTATTCTGGAGTTGAGGTACCCTAGCAGAAGTCTCGAGCAGGAGAAACAGTCATTGGCTTTTTGGTTTGTTCAGCAATTAGTGCTTCTGTACTGTCGTTCGTGGGTTTAGTCTCCAGCCAAGAAACGACGGCCATTTTCACTGTTATTTCTGTGGCCGTAGGCGCCGATTTTGTTTGCTGCTGAGACTCTAAACCTCGTTTCCTCGTACAGAGGGAGGAGAACATCAGAACTACCATCTCTCAGGTGCTGGTGAATACTTATCAGGAAAACACTGCCCGTAGTCTAAACAGCGGAAAAGAGACTTCTTCAACACAGTAAGAAAGTAAGAAGCAGAAATTATTTTGTACTCGCATCGTCCTGCACAAGCTCCAGTCAAAGTGACACAGTGACCACTGGAAACTAAAAAAATCGTAGACTTTTGTTCGTCACCACTTTGGCCCGCGGTATGCATTTTCAAGAGGCGTGGCGGCGTCAGCACTTTGGCAGTGTATTGAGTGAGTGAGCAAGTGTGAAGCCCTAATCTGTTTGCTGTTGTCTCGATTAGCGAACATGACGCGAACCTTGTGCACGGCAAGTTGCAGAACAACCGGATGCTGTTCGAAGATTCACTGGTCTTTGATATTGGTCACAAATTAGCTGGATGCGAAGGTGACAAACTCCATACCAAGATGTTGGATAAATTCTGAAATTATCTCCCTCTCCCAGGGTAGATGATGTTGAAACAATTTTCAACACAGGAACCATTGGTAAAAGTGGGGAGGCTTCCTGCAGTTTCATGAACAGTTATGAGTATAGCCCAAAAGCTCTCTTCCATTAACACTGCAATAATTCATCTCATTTCACAATTATAACATTTCGGCAAATTGCCTTCATCAGGTTCACAGTGAAGTGCAAGCTCTCAAACCAGCATTGATAAAGGCCAACTCCCTTGTCAGTAAGAGAACAACCATTGGGTGGTATTGATGGAGTCAGACCTGGAATCGCTCTCCGAGGGGTGGATGGCATGTCTATGGGTTGCCTGTCTGAACATCCATTTCCCCATGCCGGATAAGCCCATTGCGCAATAACGTAATTTGTACCATGAACACCCCACACAGCCACCTGGGCATGGTCGTCTGGGGTGTTGAACAGTGCATTCCTGATCCCAGTGTACTCACAGGCACTACTCATACCTTCCATATTTGGCAATGTACAATGGGCTTATTACAATGTCAGTAGATGATGGATCGCTTGCTTTAGGTAATTGCATCATCATTATATCGTGTAGTTACCACTAGACTGCAGGGGCGGTTTGCCATTTTTGGGCTCCGCTTGTTTTCAGTAAATCTGGCAGTTTTTGCCCCTCGGGGGCTGGCTTAGCACGATGGACACAAGTGTATGTGGTGATATCACAGTGGAGGATCAGTTTGGTGTTCCAGACCCCGTGAGGAAAGATTCTGTCCGTCAGTCTTGCTCAACATGTGAAAGCCATTTTTTAAAAATCCTCGAAGTAATGGAAATGGAACGTAGTCTTGCTGCCGATCGAGAGAAAAGATTAAATAGTAAAATCGACGACCTCACCCGTTTAGTTTCCTCCCTGAAAGAGGTAGTTATGGAATCTGGATCACCAGCGTATTCAATGGCGGCAGCGAAGGCAGTCGGCCATGACGAGACAAAGAGCAAGGGAAAGCCACGCCGCGCACGGAGCAGTTTCAAAGCTGGTGAACAAGTTCAAGCTGAGTCTGCAAAGTCCGTACGATCTACGAATGCGCCAACATCTCAAGACAGCCGTGCTCAACCGGATCTGGAAGCTTCAGCAGCCACCTCCACGTGCGAGGACGTTGACTCGGTTCATGAACCCCGTACGCAGAGATCGGACCTTGGCCTTGATGACCCAGGAGCACGTGCAGAGGGACATTTGAAACCAAGTGCTGCACAGAAGATCGTCGATCGCCTCAAAAAATTTGAGGATATGCAGGACGATGTCGAAGCTTCCTGGAGGCTGGTCACGAATACTAAGCCCACGCAGAAAAAGTCAGTTTTCTTCGTTGGGAACCTGCTCCCCGAGATGCAGAGCGAGCAGTTGAAACTGTTTATTGAACGCAGAGCTGCAGACATCGATCACCCTGTCTGTGTTTTTGAGGTGAAGATCTTCCCCAAAGAATCCTCATCATCGGCCAGGATCACCATCAACGCTTCCAGTGCGAAGCTAGTCAACAGCCGCCGTTTCTGGCCTGCTCCACTGTACAGTAGGTGTTGGAATTTCGACAAGTACAGATCTGAAACAGAGGACAGCCACAGCAGTATGAATTCAGCCCAAGATGACCAGCATAGCCTTCCTTAACATCTGCAGCCTCCGCAGAAAAGTCGACGAACTCAAAGATTTCGTTTCCAAGCATGGTGTGCATGTCATGGGCGTTGCTGAAACATGGCTAGCTGCTGATGTAACTGATGGAGAGGTATCCATTCCTCACTACAAGCTATTCAGGAAAGATCGTGCCCTACAGCACGGCGGTGGCGTTTGCATATACTGTCATGAAACGACTCGTGTCAAACGACGTGCTGATCTGGAAACAGATTTGGAAATTTTGTGGATTGAGGTCATGGAGCAAAAGCACAGTACCCTGGTGGGATGTGCATACCGTCCACCAGATAAGTCAGTGGCTTACTGGGATGTATTCCAAGCCAACATCGAAAAGGCAATGCAGGGAAGACAGTCGCGCACAGTTCTCATTGGAGACTTTAATGTGGACTATGCCGATCCTCTTGCCAGCCGTGCAAATCACTTGCACTCCACACTCACACACTGCAACTTGTTTAACCATGTGTCTCAGCCGACAAGAGTCACGTCCTCTTCGGCATCTGTTATCGACCTGTTCTTGTCTAACGTTCCCATAGAGGGTGTATGTCGCACTGTCTATGTTGATATGAGCGATCATTTTGCCATCCTGGCCCATATGCCTGGCTTTGGCATGGGAAAGGCATATTCTGGACACCCAGCCGCCAAACGCCAAGGTAGGCGACTCCATCGGATAAATTGGAACACATTCAATGAGGACTTGAACCATCATCTAGCGACTTGTACCTTTACCGGAAATCTTGAAAATGCTGTGCAGAGTCTTACCACCTTTATCATATCTACCCTGGATGTGCACGCACCATTGATTCATCGGCGCCGACAGGAGAAACGTCCTTGCCCCTGGCTAACACCGGAGCTAGTTGCCGCGGTACGTGAGCGAAACCAGTTCCATCGCCGGTTGATGAGCGACAAAGGCAATGCGGATCTGCGTGAGCTCCACCGTCAGGCCCGCTCTACTGCAAGGAAACTGGATCGCCGTCTACGTAATGCCTACTTCATGAATCAGTGTGCAACTCGTGATCAGAGAAAGTTGTGGTCAGTTATGAACATCGTCACAGGCCGTGCTAAGCAGCGTCAAGAACCTCAAGCCGGCATTGAGGACCTGAGCAAAACCTTTGGGGATGTTGTGCATGACCCAGACCGACCATCCACGCTAACACCACCAAGTGGACCGATGCCAGCGTCTAGCTTTCTGCAATTTGAACTGGTGCCGGTGAGTGATGTGAAAGCTTGTCTGAAGTGCATAAATCCCGCGAAGGCCACGGGCAGTGATTGCGTTCCTGGTTTAGTGTTGAGGGAATGTGCCGATAGCCTTGCTGGGCCACTCACGGATATCATTAACAGATCACTGTCCACTGGAACAGTACCAATGATGTTCAAGCGATCGTTTATTAGTCCTTTGTATAAGTCAGGAGACCCCACAGTGCCAGTTAACTACCGCCCAGTATCCTTATTGCCGATTATATCTCGTATTCTCGAACACTTTGTGAAAAAGCAGCTCGTGGAATATCTCACAGCGCATGAACTTTATCCAAAGACTCAGTTTGCGTATCGGAAGTGTCACTCGACGGAGGATGCACTTGTGCTTGCCGTCAACAGGTGGGTGCTTGCACGCTCACATCGCCGCTTCACGGGCATCGTCATGGTAGATATGAGTAAAGCCTTTGATCGGGTGCAGCATGAACGACTCGTCTCTGAGTTGCACTCCCTTGGTATCTCATCTAGTGCTCTACAATGGTTTTGTAGCTATCTGACTGAAAGAAGTCAACAAGTCCGAATTGCAAACTCAGTCTCCTCGTCAGTGCATTGTTCCCGTGGTGTGCCACAGGGCAGTGTACTTGGTCCCTTGCTGTTTGTTCTATACACGCGCCACTTAGATGCCATCCTGCCTGAACAAGTCATCCACCAAGAGTTTGCAGATGACATCATACTAGAGTTCTCCGACAGCGATCTGAACACTGTGTGCCGACAGCTTAGTGCAGCTGCCACTTCTGTATCACGTTGGCTTGCTGAAATTGTGCTGTTGCTCAATGCGAAGAAGACGCAAGTCATGGTCATCCAGCCCCGTGGACAGAGAGCTGCCATTCCTGATGTATTCTGTGGTCAGGACGCACTCAAGGTTACCCCTACTTCCAAGTACCTTGGGGTGGTCATTGATTGCGAACTGTCATGGAAGCAGCATGTGGACAACGTGACTAAGCGAACTGCCCAGACCATTGGTCAGCTCTGGCGCCATGGTCGTGCTCTAAGTTTATCAGCCAGACGGTCGTGGTTCATTAGCATGATCAGCAGCCATCTCTGCTATGCGTCTACGGCTTTCTATCCTTGCCTCACAGTGCAGTTGTTGGATCGCTTGGTCAAGATTTTCAAATCCGGAATTCGCGCCGTTTTCCAGGTGCCTTCTACTACCCCATCATCCCCTCTTCTCTGTCGACTTGATCTTCTTACTCTTACTCAGATATATAAGCAAAAATTATTATTTTTTGTTCACAGATGTCTTGGTACTGAAATGATCAGTAGTCTTTTCAGCACTTTCTTTGATTTAGTCAATGGTCGTGCCACGCGGGGTCAGGCTTCACGTCTGCTTCGTGTCCCGTTTTTGCCGGGTCCTTCCGGTCGATCCACTGTTCAGTTCATTGGTAGTGTGTACTGGAACTGCCTGCCGCCTGATGTCCGCTCCATCACCATTCCTTCTGCATTTAAGAAAGCAATTACAAACGATATCTTAAACTCTCTTACCCTCTCCTAAGATCTCAAAGACGCATAACTGTCAACATTCCCTCAACCCTGGAACCTTTCCATCCGTTGCATTATTTTCATGAAAAATTCATCAAATTCAAATTCGTTACTTGTAGTACTCCCGCATTGATTTGTTTCCGTCTTCTCTTTGTGCCTTGTTCATGATTGTATTTTCCTCTTCCTCCTTTTCTTATATCACCACCTTCATCATTTTGCGAGAACTGTGGCAATACGCCCAGTGAGAAGGCAGATTTTGCCTGTGCTTCTGGTGAAGTAAAATAAAGCTAAACAAACAAACAAACAGACCTTCTTCTGGGACTATGTGTGGAGCTAGGTAACCTGTCCTCATGTGGACAGGAATAACAGTTCAGGATAAATATGACAGTTTTAGGAGGGGTGTGTGTATGTGTGTGTGTGTGTGTGTGTGTGTGTGTGTGTGTGTGTGTGCCTGTATGTGTGTGTGTGTGTGTGTATCTGTGTATGTGTGTGTGTGTATGTGTGTGTGTGTGTATGTATGTATGTGTGTGTGTGTGTGTGTGTGTGTGTGTGTGTGTGTATGTGTGTGTGTGTATATGTGTGTATGTGTGTGTGTATATGTGTGTGTGTGTGTGTGTGTCTGTGTATATATGTGTGTGTGTCTGTCTGTGTGTCTGTGTATATATGTGTGCATGTCTGTGTCCGTGTACGTATGCGTGTACACTGTGCACGCATACACACGTTTGCAACCCATGTTCGTTTTGCCAATATGCCTGCACAGGATACTCACCAGAGCAGATGCATGGGGTACTGCATGACTCTGGACTCCCATCACACGTACTGGACAACACCACGCTTATACAGGAGGTCAGCAAGGCGGCAGCCCACTTGCATTCTCATGTTTTCGACGGCGAGCCCCTCAAATTCCCGTTGGATATCTTCGACCAGATCCTTAACAGCAACCACTCAAATCCTGAAGCCAGCACGGGACACTGCCAAGTAGGGCGAGTGCGCCGCACGCTCACGGCTGTTCCTCGAGCTGCTGGCCATAGAAGCTTCAAGATGTCGTGGCGAATTGGAGGTGCCAAATTCACCGACAAGGAGCAGAAACAACTCTGGAAATACATCCAGACCATTTGCTGCAAAGTTAAGCCGTATTGCTCCGCGCTTTGGCTGCGGCAGAAGTGGTGTAATGTAGAACTAGAAATTCTCAGAATAATCCGTTGGATAAAGGTCTAGCTGAATATACTGTCAACAACTACTCTTCTGAACAAACGGCGAGGAGACAACAATTTGATAACCGCAATCAGTAATACAAGCTGGATCGACATTTGTGTACACTGTATTCATGTATTGTAAAACTGTGGAGACAAAGTGCAATAAAACGATGAAAAATGTGAAGAAATTGTGTAGAGAAAGAAAGGGAATCAAACAAGTTTTCGTACTAAGAAACTGTTGACATCTGCATGGATGTTTTGTACTGTAATGATGACATTGACACTCCTTGGATATCTGAAAGTGCGTTTATAGTCTGTTTCAAAAAGATTTACAATCAGGTTTGGGTCTTAAAAAGTATGAAGATAAGGGAAATTTGGACAACAAAGTACATAGAATGGCTTGTTAGGACACGGCAAATTGTTCTGTGAAGGTTTCGGAACAATTGGACCAACCGTTAAGGAGTTAGAATTTCGGCCAGGTTTCCGGCCTTTTCCCATGGTTTACAATTTGCCCAGGAAGCCAGTATCGATTTTTTATCAAAACCCACGATTTATCCTTTCCTTTTTGGCCTTGTGGTTATGAATGCTGTCTGCTGACCATGAAGTTGTGAGTTCAAATCCCAACCTATCCTCAAGTCGAACGTTTTTTTCATTGTTTTGGTGATCAAGCTGGTACAAGACAAAGAAGATGGCTGCACCAAACGACTTGTTGGAGCTCGCGCTTCCTGCCGAACTGACTGACAATTGACTGGCTCACGCCATGTGAACACACCCACAACACTGCAATGGTGTGAGTGAATTATAATGGAAGTCATCGCGCTGTAGCTTCTTGAGATTTATTTTAGTATTTCAAGATCACCAATTTATTTGAATTTAGCAGTCAACGCCGTCTTCTATCAGCGTTCACAAGCGTCTGCTTTTCTCAAAATGTCGTTGAAGTCACACGGATAGCTTTGCCAAGTCATGGCCTTGGGAATGTGTCCGTGTCGATGTCATTTTCGTCACACGGTGAGTAAATTGCATCGCAGCTCAAAGAAACTATTTTGGTCACAAAACGGACCCATGCCGCTCGTCAACATTTACAACACTTTCGTTTCGACATGTCCTCTCTGACTCCATTATCGATACGAGGAAGAACTCGTTTGTTGTAAACCAGACGTACATGACTGTGTCAACGTGAGTGAGTTGTCATTTTTCCTGCTTTCGCGCGGAATATTTCTTCGGGTTCACAGTGAGTTTTTCCAGGCAGCGCTCGAGTGCTCATACGGTAAGATGCCAAACTCCGCAGGCGATCGCCAGGATTGTAAATCTTTTTGAAACGGAGTAGACGATTGTTGTTGCTGGTCACAACTGGAGTTGAGTTTTCGTTCAACAATGTCATGTACAAACAAGTCGATGGTGTCGCGATGGGTTCGCCCCTTGGTCCAGTATTGGCAAACGTGTTTGTCGGTTACTGTGAGTCGAAGATTGATGATTCATTGTGGCCTGACCTTTATGTTCGTTTCGTGGACGACTCATTCACATATTTTAATAATGAGGAGCGTAGTAACGAGTTTCTGGACGTGTTAAATGGTATTCACCCTGCCCTTCGTTTCACATGTGAGCATGAACAGTCCAACAAGTTGTCATTTCTGGATGTGCTGGTGGAAAAAACGAGTAGTGACGTTCTGACAACCGTTTATCGTAAGCCGACGTTTACTGGTCAGTACATTGTATATGACTCTTATTGTTCGTCTCAATATAAAGTAAACTTAGTGCGTAACCTTGTAGACCGTGCGAAGCGTATTTGTTCGTCCTGTAAGCTGCAGGAAGAGCTTGACTTTCTCCGGTCAGTTTTCGTTAAGAACGGGTACCCTGAGTTTTTGTTGCAGAAGTTGTTGAAAGTCGAACAAACTACTAAGGCTCCTTTGTTTGGTCCTGCTCGTTGTCCCGTCTATTTATGTTTGCCTTGGAAAGGACAGGAGTCGACTAAAGTTTGTAGTGCAGTCAAGTCCGTTGTTCGTCGAACATACTATGCAGTACACTTTGTGCCAGTTTTTACGACGATGCGTGCGTTTACGGTGCGGAAGGATGTCCTACCAGCCCTTCACCTTAGTCATCTTATTTACAACTTTGAATGCCGACAATGCGCTAGTCGGTATGTTGGAAGGACTGTTCAGCACCTGAACGCACGCATCAAACAACACACACCACGTCACATACTTCCACCTTGCGCACAACAACAAAGACCGAAGCGAGGGCGACCTAGAAAACAACCATTAACCACACAGCCGTTGCCTACACAACCCGCGGATCCTGGCTCTCAGACTGTGCTTGCTCCGCCGTCGTTGGTGGCGGTGGTGGCTCATCGGGTCGGCTTGTGTCGCCGCCTTTGCTCCGGCCGTCGGTGGTTCCCTCGTCAGTGCCCCCGGCGGCTTTGGCTGAGGCGGTGCCGCTTGCAGTCCCGGTCCCACTGCCTCCTCCTGATCCTCCGCCATCGGTTCTTGCGGCGGTGGAGCTTGCCAGTGGCAGACCGCGAGCAACACTGACAGCTGCATTAACACTACAAATGCCGACTCAAAAAGACCCACCTTGCATATCAGTAACTCCCACACCAACACCAACAACGCAATCTACAGCAACCACAACTAATCCACCATCCAAGCCCATAATTGAAAGACCAAGACGATCAACAGCCAACTACAACCGAAGCTACGCACTCAGCGGACGAGGGCGAAAGGAGGGACGTGATAGCAGGGGGACGGCCGAGTTGAGTTCAATGGACCCGGTCAGGCGGGATGGACGAGACAGAGAGAGTACAGAGGAAGCGGAGGATGGAACGGACGGCGGAGGGAGCAGTGAGTCGGAGAGCAGTGATGGGAGTGATGGTGAGAGTGCCGGTGAGAGTGTTAGTGTTGTGCGTAGGTTTCGTGCTAGCAAGTCTTCTGTGTACAATCATCTGCTGGCTAGTCCTGATTGTTGCGGTTCGTATTCCGACTCTTCGTTCACTGTATTGTGCCGTGGTCGTCATGGTTATGGACTACAGTTAAAAGTGTTGGAAGCTATCTATCAGCGTCTGTACAAGCCTAATTTGTGTGTACAGAAAGATAGTATAATTGGGTTGAAATTGTTCAAGTAACGTGTCGTGTTTAGTGCGGCCAAGCTTGGCCGTTAATGTTCTAGGTGTAATCAAGAGTGCATAAACAAGAGTATGCAACTGTCGTTATGGCCCAGTGCGCGGCGCGCTGCCTTCATTACGTAACTTGCCTTCATCACGCTCTGAAAGCATGCATTCAAACTCACAATTTCTCGTACGGGCCCATCCGTTTTTGCTCGATTCGTTCCAGTACCTACGCGATCTCTGAATTCTGGCGCGTGAACTCCAGTTCCGTACGAAAGTTCATTTCAAACCAGAGGGAAAGTGCGGTGTTTGATTTTCCGCAGTGCGCGGACTGCAGCTGAATGATGTAATGAAGGCAGCGCGCCGCGCATCTGGCCCATAGAAAAGAGATCACAGTTGCATACTCTTGTTTATGGACTCTTGGTGTAATGTACTGCTGTTATGTGTTATCACGTTGTCTTTCCTTCCTTTCTCCTTTGTTCATTTCTCGCTTTGATTGTTAAAATTCACACTTGTAAATTTCACTGTTGTTGCTCTTAGTGTTATTTCTCTAACTTAGATTTTCTATAATAGTTCAATTTTTTTTTCAGTGTCCTTTAGTTCAACGACGATTCCTGATGAGTGTTGTACGAAAACTTGTTTGAATCCCTTTCTTTCTCTACACAATTTCTTCACATTTTTCATCGTTTTATTGCATATTGTCTCCACAGTTTTACAATACATGAATACAGTGTACACAAATGTCGATCCAGCTTGTATTACTGATTGCGGTTATCAAACTACTCTTCTGGCTGTCTTTTTCTACTATTGACTTTCGTTCACCCCTTCCTGTGCAATCCAGCACGTGACATTATTATTTGGCTGACCATCAAGCCTACTTTTTCGGATGTCTCTTTATACTTCTGATCTTCGTTCACTCCTTGCTCTGCACTGATCTCAGCAAGTGTTATTAACGCACTCCAACAAACAGAACTTCTCTGAGTAGTATGTGTTGGGCCAATTCTGGAACAGGCACATGCCCCAGCCCGAACAAATGGGGTATTATTGATAGTACCCCATTTTGGGGTAAAAACCCGGGCGCCCTGTTTTATTGCGTAAAATTGATTTTTCGGGTGTTGAGGTGGTGAAGGGGGTATATGAATGTACCCCAATGGTTGTACCTGATAATTGCCCCAGATGGGAGCGGGTATAAATGTCAAATAAAAACAGTGAAAAACACAGAGACGCAAAGGACATGTGGATAATGAGCTATTTATGTCGTAGTAAATAAGGGGCGGCACGGATCTTAAACAGGCGGAGTGAGGTCAGATCCTTAACTTCTCTGGGTAGAGTGAGCCAAACAGAATAAGCAATAAAGAGAGGGGAGCGCAAAAGAGTTATAAGTTGTGCAGTTGACCGGCCGAAGTGGAGTAACATTTGTTCTGCGGTGGTGTGAACACACATGACCGGCTGTGGTTTTGGTGTGGACGCACATGACTATTATAGCAATAAAAACTGCTTTATGGCTGTTTTCTAAAAAAAGTTATTGTGTTCTAGTCCATGGACCCCGTCTAAAAAGTAAGAAATTAACGAAATGTGATAGCCGAAAATTAAAATTTCACACAAAACCTCACAATAATCACGACACTTGAAGAAGTACGGCTTACAACACTTGTTTATTCCGACACTTGTACTGTGTCTTGTACAAGTACATGTACATGTGTACGTCTTGTACAAGTACATGTACTGCGCCAACATGCTTGCATGTGAAAGAGCACCACGAGGGGAAAAGGTCGTCTCGCATCCTGTGTGTGATTATTGTGAGGTTTTGTGTGAAATTTTAATTTTCGGCTATCACATTTCGTTAATTTCTTACTTTTTAGACGGGGTCCATGGACTAGAACACAATAACTTTTTTTAGAAAACAGCCATAAAGCAGTTTTTATTGCTATAATTTCTTTTGTTTTTTTGGCTAAGGGCCTGGTCAGACTGCGGCAAATTTTGGTTGCCTGACGAAAAAGGAACAGCGTCCAGAATTTGAATCGCGATCACACTACAGATGTGGGGAGAGTGAAA